TCGATCTTCATATTGTAGTTCTGATTTATTCGATTCATATTTGTAATTCTCTGATATATTCCATGATTTCATTCATACACATGTTACTGATATATCATTTTAAAAGGAAAAAAAAAAAAAATTGAGCAGCAAAGTCCCAATCTGACAAGGGACCAGAAGAAAGTTAGAGATAGCTACTTATTCTGCTGCGAGAATTTCTATACTCTTCCCGAGATGGTCAATTACATGAAGGAGAATCACGGTTTACCAAAGACAAGTGTGACAAATGTTTTCAGGGAACTCTTGAAAGGTAGAAATGCGGAAGCATATCTGAGAGTGTCACAGAAAAGATCTCTTCAGAGGTTAGCTCTACAGAGGAGGACTAGTGGAAGCGGTGTAGGTTCTTCGACTAAGTAATGCTTCCTCTCTAGTATGATATTTGCAAATTCATGGTTTGAAACATGTTTTCTTTGGGTTTGGTTAGTAAGAACAAGACGCTTCTGCCATTGTCTTCAAATTTTATTATCTTCGAGTAGTATGATTTGTGTAAGGGTCATTTACATTTTTATGGATTATGGATTCATTTTCCATTACAATAGATGTACTGAATTATATAATAAAGGAGATCCGCAGAAGAAACAATGCATGCATGCTCTCATTTTCCTCTCAACACACCTCTGTAAAACACTTGGGGTTTTGGTTTCATGTGAGTTGCTTCCAAGCCTAAAGTCAATTGCCGTGGTATAGGTGCTGCTTGAGATTTACCATCCGATCAAAAGACCAAACTCCAACACTTTCTTGGTAATTTTCCCTTGAATCTCAACTCAGAGCTATTAAATTCAGGCGACAACACTTATTTTCTGGGACTGATGCAATGACAGATCACCCCAGTGACAACTCCGTGTCTTCTCAAGGCCTGGCAGAAACAACAGCCTTGGCTTGTTGCTAGATGAATAGCTTGTTCATATGCATATGCGGGTTTTTGTTTGGATGGCACGTCCATGAGAAAACATATCGCTTCTCTCCACTTGCAATCGTTACGGTGCACAGTTTAGAAGATGCTAGTTTTTGGTTTCCATAAGTAAATAATATCCTCCTTTCTGACGAGAATCAACATTGCAGATAATCAGTCTGTCCATGTACTAATCTGTATTTCTCTTAAAGTTTCTTCCTATTCACTCTTTCCACTCTTACCGGAAATCATCAAGTTCTAGTAGTAGTAACTGGATTCTATTGTTTATGTTAGTAGCTATATGAGACTACGAGTATCCCTGAGATTGGGCAAAGAAACGTTTTACAAAAAAGAGAAAGGACGATGGGTCAAAGCATTGAAAAAGTTTCTCTCCTCTCCTGCAGTCAAGTGCTTGATCCTTGATGAACAGAGCAGCCATATCACCTTACTTCTTTCTCCTTCCCCTGGAAGAAGAAGAAGAAGCACCATCACTTTGACTAGGAGCACTAATTCCAACAGCATGAACACTAGCACGCCTCTGTAGAAGAGCTTCTCTTGCCAATCTTTCTTCTTCCATTTGCTTCCTTACAAGAGCCCGCTGGCTTGATATTCTGAGATAGGTTTCAGCTTTCTGACCTTTCATGAGCTCCCTAAAAACAAGAGTCACACTTGGCTCTGTTACATTGTGGTGGTCTCCCATGTACTTTTTCATTTCCGCTAAGGTGTCTAATTGAAGTAGCTGTCTCTAATTCGTCCATCTTCTGCCGTCAGACGACGTCCCTGATAAGTTATGATACATGAGCATGAGCAATCCAAGAAACTTCCACTCTATTGAAGTATCAACTTTTACCTTAAGAAGATTTTGTGCCTCAGTCGGATTGGTAGCTTGTGGAACTGCCATTTCTCCCGCATTCCTTCCCTTAAACAGAATCAAACAGCATAAATTAGCAATCAGTCAGAATCAAACATATGTATCTATCTGCGATATTCTGGTGTGTTTAACTCAATCACGATGGGTGCATCAGTTGGATTAAGACTTGTAACTTTTGGTACCTCGGTTTCTTCCGGATTATCCTCGTTTTCTGCCATGGCTAGCTAAGTTGAACAAAATCGAACAGTTAGAAATTAGCAGAACAAAACAGATTGTGTCTCCTCACTTAGATTATACAACAATCTTCCACCGATTATGAAATCAATCCTGGAGAATGGTGGTGACGATAAGTGAACACAGGAGAAAGTAATCGATTCTACATAATATAAAGATCCAAATCGAAACATCAATCACCATGAACAGATCGAAATTATCACAAACACAAACACAAACAGGTATTCTAGTTGGAAATCTTAAATCGAAGATCCAAAAATCAATCATTGCGAACGGATCGAAACTATGATTCTCACAAACGGATGCTCTCGAATCGCTATCACATTATTTTTCAGATTATCACAGCAATCGATCAAATAACACATCAACGAAGCAATTTCGAGTACGAAATCTTATCAATATTCACAGAAATCGATGAATCGAACAGATAACACATGGAAGAACGATGATTCGATCAGATAACACATGAAAGATCGATTGTTCTTGATAACAAATGGAAGATCGATTGATTTTCGGAAGAATTAACTATCAGAGTAAGATCGAGCTAAGATTCAGAATCGAAAAATGAGAACTAACCGAAACAGACTCGAAGAAGAAGATCCCAAGAACTCTTCTTCGTTTCCGTTGCTTGCTGAAGAAACTAGCCTTTGGCGCGACGACGATCTTGGAGCTCTTTTTGATTTTTTTTCTTTTTCAACTGTGTTAGACTGTTAGTTAATGGAATATACGGTTATTCTGAATTTGGGCTACAATTATATGGGCCCATTATAAGAAATATGGCCCATTGGTTAAGAAATTGATCATTTCTTCTTTTTAAGCGGCAGATATATATAAATATTGGTCTCGGATAAAACTTTGGTAACGTGTTTTTAATTTTTAAAGAGTATGGATTAGGTTTCTTTTTTTAATTTGATTAAAATTCAAATTGTACAATCAGTATCATTGGGATGGATTGCTTTCAAATTCCAATTTAGAAATACATAAATTTTATTTTACTTCTTTTCCCACCTAAAAAATGATGAAATGGTAGGGCTTTGTTAATTGCCACGAAAAGGCCCAATGGGCCATTGATGAATCAGACTATATCTGAAGCAACACCTAAAAGAGTCACCGTCGTCGACTCCACCGGATATCATTCTACCGTCGCTACAGTTCCATCGTCGCCGTTAAACTGGACGAATTTTTCCGAGATGGAAGAAGATATGGCGAATCGTCGAGTTTCGAGTCGGACTCGTAAGGTTGCTTCGAAGATGGCGGCGGCTCTTACGAGCACCGACAATCGAACTCAGGTTTGTCTTGTTTGATTTGGGAATCAATTTTGATTTTGTGGTTGGAACAATCTTCAATTGATTTAAGAATGGTTGGTTACTTGTGTAGGCTGCTATAGCTCGGCTAGAGGCTTTAGAGAACGACAATGGAGCCATTGAGGTGGTAGATATGAACGATGATGAAGAAGCCTCTCTTGACGAAGACGATGATCAAGGTGAAGTAATCTCACTATGACGATATGTCTCTGTGAACACGACAATGACGAATATTGTGTGTTTTGGGTTTACAGGATATGCACAGAAGAAGCAACACAAGGGATCAAAGCGTAAAACTCGACAAGCAAAAGCCTTAGAAGCTCGTAAAGCACCTAAATCCTTCCTTGAGCTCTTGCAAGAGGTACTTTAACTCTTTGTTACTTCTGCGACTAAGCTCAGAGTTTGTAACAATCATTCTCTTTTAGGCGAACTTGGAATCTTTACCGTCGCATGTGCCGAATTACTTGAAAGCAGCCGTTGGACCTCCGAGCTCGTCTTCTCGTCGCCATTTCTGCTCCGTTTGTGGTTACATTGCAGGTTACAATTGCTGCTTGTGTGGTATGCGCTTTTGTTCCATCCGTTGCAATAACGTTCACAAGGATACTCGTTGCCAGAAATTTGTTGCATAGTAAAAGAGCAAAACAAATGTAAACACTTTTTTTCTTTTCAAAATGTATCGAAACATCAATCTCTCTGTTTCTGCCATGAATGCGTTTTAAAAATGAAATATTAGCCAAGAAAAGCAGCGTTCTTTATCTTTTAAGTGTATATATGATTAGAGATCAAACATGGGACAACTGTTGCTTGAGCGTTTCCAGTAGCTTGCTCTTAGATTCACAGATCTGGTGAAACTCACGGAGGAGTCTCTGTTGCGCCACGACTGTTTTACGTGCTGAATCTGCTGTGCTCCATGATTTCAGTGCTTCGAAAATGCGATTCCCAACCTCTGATTCTTCGCTGGATGCGATGAAACTCTCTAAAACCCCAAGAACCTGTCCCGGTCCTCCTGTGTCTTCATTTCTCTTCAGAGTTGACAGAAATCTTTCCACTTGATCATCTTCTGGGTTGTTCATTTGACTTAGAAGCCAGTTAGAAACTTCTTGTACTGTGCTCCATAAGCACTGTATAGACTCTTTGATCGCTTGAGACATCGGGGAGGAAGATAATTGATCTGAATGTTGAGGTTTCTTCTTCTTTTTCCCAGATGGGAGAGATGAGCGGGTGCAGGCCTGAATTATAAGACTGTGCCATGCCAACGGTTCAGTGATGATCTGAACCAAGACCTGGATATCAGAATAGCAAGAATTCATGTCTGAAGATCCCATTGATCTGATTCTGTCCATAATAAGCCTCTCAAATAGCAAGTTCAACACATGCCAATGCTCGTGGGAACTCAGGCTCCAAGCATTCCAAAACACCGCAAAAGTCAACCAGTCCACCAAATCTGAACCGAGGCTCTGCAGATATGTTCCCACAAGATTAATAACAGTAAGACCAGTTGCAATGAATGCAGGTGGAAGGAGAAAGGAGTAGAAAATCTAACCTCGGAAGTCCTTGCACCCTGTGAGATGTCTGTGATCATTTCTACAGCGTCACTGAGAGAACATCCCAACTTTTTTGTGTATTCCTCCAGTAATACCTTAAGTTCTCCGTAGATTTTGAGGTCACCTCCAGACCCATTGGCTTCAACACTTTCCTTTAATGCCGTTGACGAGCACTGAATAGAGAGATACATTATCCGAGGTAGAAGGGATTTCCTCTGGATGGCTCGTTTCATGTTTACTTCACGATCTTTATTCTATACACAGCCAACAAGTACTAACAGGATTAGATTGCAACGGTCCTCAAGAAAGATGCAAGATGTATTGATACAGACAAACGTACCACATTCTCTTTGCGACAGTAAGAAATTTCTTCAAACGGACCTACACAATTTGTTGATTGATATTAAGAAAAACACCACAATCATAAACAACAACTAATGTGACGAAAATACTGACCTAGTAGATAGTTTTTCTCAGGACAAGGTGTCCACCATGGTCGTGTTAGCATATCTTCATTGAACCTCAGTGTCTTGGATCCAACTTCATTCGAGAGCTCCACAAGTTCAACTCCAGATTTCAGGTTTTCAAGAATGCGCTAGACAACAACAGTGCAAACAACATTAGATATATAAGAAAACAAAATAAATGGACATAAGGTAATTTATACAACAAGGATTTTGATGAATTACTTCTTCTTCCTCGATGCTGTCTGCATTCTGTTTCAATTGCAAGACAGACGCTTCAACCCTCGCAGCTTGGTACTGGTTTGAGTGCTGCAATCTTTGTTTGAATAGGACAAATTCGATAACCTGAGATTAGGTAATCCAGATAAGTCACGACAGTAACCAGATGCCCACAGGAAGATAGTAATGTCAATCGTGGGAGAGAATTCAAATTGTTTACTTTTGAGTAATTTCTATGGCGGTAAGCAAGAAATGTAAGGTCTGCGGACTCTCTCAAATGATCATCCATAAACTTGAGATAGTCTTTTAGAAGATTACTTAAGTCCACCCACATGGGAGATTCCAACATTTGACGTAGAATATGGTGTGAAACCGTTTCTGTCAAGATGTTCTTCACATCAAGAGCTTTATACCTAACAGAAGTTAAACAGGTGGTTCAGTAAAACGAGCTGAAGAAGGGTTTTCTTTTTCCTGGAAAAACAAGTAAAGCTGAGAGCTATGAATAATACCGTTCAAATGCAAGCGGAAGAGCACCAATATATGAATATATGTGCAACAGCAAGATCTTGTACTGCCAGACATGTCTGTGGAAACAAAAGTAATTATCAAGTTGAGACCTACCACCATGTTGAATCCTTTGGTATTTAAAACAGAAGCAGCAGGCAAATATATCTTATTGTTCTAAAACGCAAAAATGGCACTGATAGAAACTCAAATCGACATTTTCCTAGCTATAACAATTTAGTTACTGACCCTCTGATGGTCAAGCCCAACTCAAGAACCATGATAGCCTCAGCAAGGTAGCCAAAATCTCGAGTACGCCAGAATAACTGGAACCAACATCAAGGTTAATTAACATATAAGAATGGGCTATGCAGTATGGGGGAAGCACGTCTGTTCAACACAACGAAAATACCTGGACCAACATGTTGCTAATCAAAGATAGAAGTTCTTCCCCAAACATGCTCTCTTGAGGATCCAAATCCTTAGAAAGAGGAAGATTTTGACAGTACAATTTTGCGAGTTTGACAGCAGAGGCTTCAATCTCTACATATTGGAAGATCCAACTATAATTAGATTCAGAGAAGCTATATTGCAAAAATGAGAAAACCACATAAGGGAGACAACAGGAAATAATGCTGGAAAAGGATTCATCATACTGCACACCAAAACAGAAGGATGCCATACACACAAAAGAGTCACACAGCTATGTAGATTCGGAATTAGCCTCTATAAGCAGAAAACAAGGAAGATTGCAAAAAAAAAAGGTATGTGAGCAAAGAGAACACACCGCCGAGAGGGAGCTCAAAAATGAATCCCGTCAGTTCTTGAACTTTGAGTATTGTTGTTGTTTGACCAAGCACTTTGGTTGCTGATGCAGAAACGGAGTCAGAACTTTTCACTAACATTTCAACAAATTCAGCCTTTTTATTTGGAGATAATACTTGTAGGCATGCTTCAACGTCGGAGGCATAGCAAGCTAAATGACCAAATCTGCATGGGGATAGAAGTTTAGAGGGATATCAGACCAGTAAGCTTTATCTATACAAGTCAGACATCACAGCATCAATGATACACAAGATATCAACCTAAAAGGGTTTTACAGACATACTTGATAAAATATTGCAGTAATGATTCTAGTAGCGTGCTTTCGTTCTTCTTTCCAAACAACAACTTTCTCTTCTCAATTTCAATTTCTGCCAAGTGCGGACCCCTTAAGTTAGTATTCTCAGTGTCTCTCTGCAATTTCTGCACCAAATCTGAAGCACTTGATATACGAGAATCAAACTGCATGTTGGAAAAGAAATTGGATTACACATATGAAACAAGTTGGGGGAAAAAAAACAAAGGAAACACGAACTAAAACTTAAGTCCGGCAAGTGGTTAATATGATCACCATTTCTTCTGTAAGGTGAGAAAACTTGCATTCTGTGTGTTTTGTTGGATGAATTTGATCACTATTGTCAAAGTACTTCCAGATGCTGTCATCTTCAAGCAGACAGCCGAGATAGTGTAGGAAACACTCCCAATCATCTGGACTGCCAAGCGAACAGAAATACAATGTCAGGATACTGACATGATATGCACAAGCCAAAGATATAGAAACAACCAAAAGACCAATCGGCAATAATTCTGGAAACAGTGCCAAAACTAAAAACACTGAATTGAGATGCTCATGCCTTGACATCGTACCTCACTTCTAAGATTTTTTTATAGACATCAACAGCAGCAGAATAGTCATTTGCCCTAGCAAGGAGTCTCCCCTGTCAGCTTAAAGTGAGAGATTTCGTGTGAGCATACAGCAATAGACTCTTTATGCTTTTACATATTATTAATAAAAACCTCAAGCTAGGGAACATGCATTATTTCAGAATGTCTGCGGCCTACGTAAAATATAATGCAAAAGCATAACATTCAGATCCCTTTCCGACCAAAAGGCCTTGTAACCTACCTGTATCCGTAGTTTCTCGACCTCAATCATCAAAAGAGATCCCAAATTTCCAGAAAGCACTTCTAAACCATCATTGTATTTGGATTGTTGTTCCAGCAAAGAGATATACACCATGAGAGCTGAAGAGACCAGAAGTTCATTAGTAGAAGAAAAGGCGAAGAAATCTAAAATAGTTCCACAACTTGTACAAAAGAAGACATTGGTGGGCAAGTGAATTCACCTTCTGGCTCATGCATACTATGAGCGGCAATGTGCTTCTTAAGTAAACCCTCAGCTAGAAGCAACAGTTTCTCTCCACTCTTATCGCATAAAACCTGTTAAAAATCTTCACAGTTGTAAGCATAGAACACCAAACTGCCCAAAAGAAGGAGGGGAAGCGGTGGCAGTACCTGTAATTGGATGCTACAAACTGCCCACAGTAAGAACCTTTCTTCTCCGGCAAGTTTGTACATTTTGATGGCTGTCTGTCACAAAGTAAAGACATAAGAAATGGAAATACAGACTGATATCAGAACAAAAAGTTGTTCATTCAAAAGAAAAACCAACCTGTTGCTGCTTCACAAAAGAATATTCACGAACATAGCAATTGAAGAGCCCCATCATAAGCTCCAAATTATTAGGAAATTTGCCACAAGCATGAGCATAACAACTAGTGGCCAAGTCCACTGATCAAATTTAGAGAAAATAAGAAATTAGATATAACCAAGAAGCTAATCACCAGCTTCCAAATTGTTCTTTACATCGAGTGCACTTACAGTGATCAAGTCTCTGCAACACAATCTGCAAAGTACTGAGAGTGAGATCATCCATCAACGATGAATCATCTTTATACAAAAGCTCTTTAGCATCCAAGCAAACTGCTAATGCCTCATCAGTTTTCCCCATTCTCTCATGAATCAGAGCTTTAAGCGCCTGTTTAATGCAACATCATTTCCATCAAAATCACGTTCCCCGTTTAAGGATTAGCAAAAAACAAGTGATTGGATTACACTTACCAAAGCATAAGGTGATTTAGGATACTTAGAGAGAAGCGAAGTGACGAGCTTGAGAGCATTCTTGAACTGACGAGAATCGATAGCATCCCAGATTGGCCGGACACGTCGCTCCGGTATTCCACCGGCCAAACCGAATTTGGAAGCCATTCCGTGAAGAAGAGGTTTCAAAGATAAGTCGGAAGTGTGTCTTAGGAGTTGACCTTTATAACTCTCAGTCGCAGTTTAACAGAGGATTTCGAAGACGATCAGAGAGCTCAAGCAGCTGCAAATTAGAAACGAAACCTAATCAGCCTGTTTGGATGCAGCGATATAGCTATCTCGATTGGGTTGCTTAATGGGCCTTACCAGGCTGAGTCGGCCCATTTACGACTTATAAACGTAATCTCAAAGATATTTCAGATTCTTCACATGTTACGCATTGGCAAATTGTCAAAAGCCAATTCACGTGCCGCCACGGTGAGTGCACGTTAGTCTTCTGACCCATAGACCCACCTGCGCATTTTAGCCACTCCGGTTTTTTTTTTATTAGCCTCCGTCGCTGCGTCGCATTTTCGGAGCAATCTCCGTTACTTCCCTAATCGTCAAACCCTAATTTTCTGTAAATTTATAATTCTAGCTTAGTTCATCGAGTTTTTTTATCCCGGAAAAGACGAAATGATGGGCTCGGAGAATGCTGACGGGTTCGAAGAGACCCAGATCAATGCGTCGAAGGAAGATATGGAGAATCTCTCCCTAGGGGTAGATGGCGACGGAGCCGACGGTGACGATCCTCTGACGAAAAGCCATGTCAACGGCGATTCATCGAACTCTGGTTATCGTAGCGCTATGTCAACACTTTCCAACGTGCGAGACCCGCTCTCGACGCCTCCGACCCTCCTGACTCCGACTGATTCTGATCCACTCTTTGCGCCATCATCGTTCGGCGATATCCGAAGCCACGGATCGAAGCCGAACTGTAGCGATAACTCCTACATCGAGCCTCCGTCTTATGCAGATGTTATCTTCAGCCCTTTTGATGAGAACTCGGATAGCGAGATTAACGGAGCCGAAGATAGCAGCGTTCATAGTCAATCCTCAGATTCACTATCGAGATCTCCTTCTTCGTCAAGCTCGGATTACATCAAGATCACTGTCTCGAACCCTCAGAAAGAGCAGGAGCCTTCAAATTCCATTGTTCCTGGAGGAAACAATTACATTACATACCTAATTACGACAAGAACGAATCTGCCTGACTTCGGCGGCCCATCGGAGTTCAGTGTCCGGAGAAGATTCAGAGATGTTGTTACTTTGGCAGATCGATTGGCTGAGTCATATAGAGGGTTCTGCATACCACCACGGCCAGATAAGAGCGTCGTGGAGAGCCAAGTAATGCAGAAACAAGAGTTCGTGGAGCAGAGAAGACTTGCATTGGAGAAATACTTGCGTAGGCTCAGTGCACACCCTGTTATCAGGAACAGCGACGAGTTAAAAGTGTTTCTTCAGGTTCAAGGGAAGTTGCCATTACCAATGAGCACTGATGTGGCCTCTAGGATGTTGGATGGTGCTGTGAAGCTTCCGAAACAGTTGTTTGGTGAAGGTGGAGCTTCTGCAGTGCCAGTGCATGAAGTGGTTCAGCCTGCCAAAGGAGGTAGGGATCTGCTGAGATTATTCAAGGAGCTGAGGCAGTCAGTTTCTAATGACTGGGGTGGATCGAAACCTCCCGTTGTTGAAGAAGATAAAGAGTTCTTGGAAAAAAAGGAGAAGATGCATGATCTTGAGCAACAAATTATCAATGCCTCACAGCAGGTAAAATGTTCATCATTGTTACTAGGTTTATGTCAGGATTTATGTAGTATGCTCTTTGGAACAAACCCTTTTGTGGATTCTGTTTGTAGGCAGAATCCCTTGTGAAGGCACAGCAAGACATGGGGGAAACCATGGGGGAACTGGGATTAGCATTCATTAAACTGACTAAGTTCGAGAACGAAGAAGCTGTTTTTAACGCACAAAGAACTCGTGCCGCTGATATGAAGAATGTAGCCACTGCGGCTGTAAAAGCAAGTAGATTTTATAGGGAGTTGAATTCCCAGACTGTCAAGCATTTGGTAAAATATCTATTGAACTACAGAAATATAGTTACCTCCTTACTGTGAATCAAATGAAATGTTGTTTTCTTTTCCTCGTGCTTTGCGCGTATTGTCGTTTTTAACTAGCGGATCTTGTCAGATTGTGTAGGCTTATATATGGAGATTGCGCTGGACTTTGAGCTTCACTAAGAGCTGTTCTTTTATTTGAATTGTTCATGACAGGACACTCTCCATGACTACCTTGGCATGATGATGGCTGTCCAAGGCGCATTTGCGGATAGATCTAGTGCTTTACTGACAGTGCAGACGCTCCTTTCAGAGCTTTCTTCGTTGCAAGCAAGAGCCGAAAAGCTAGAGGCTGCATCAGCGAAGGTATTTGGCGGTGACAAATCAAGGATCCGGAAAATAGAAGAGTTAAAAGAAACAATCAAGGTCACTGAGGATGCAAAAAATGTTGCCATCAGAGAGTATGAGCGGATCAAGGTATTCAGTAATAACCCTATGCATATCACAACTGTGATGTATCAACATGATATGAACTTTTTGGTCGTGCTCTGTGTAAATTTGTATCATTGCAGGAAAACAACCGATCTGAAGTTGAGAGGTTGGACAGTGAAAGGCGTGTAGACTTCATGAACATGATGAAGGGTTTTGTTGTGAACCAGGTACGTTACTATTACGATGAAGCTTTTCCTTATTGCCCAGTGAAAGTTTGTCTGTGTAGAATGAGTGAAGGAATGATAAGGAGGTTGTTTAGGTTAAGCACAAAGTATATGATTCCATTCTTATTGGGCTGTAGGCCAGTGAGAATGATAATGCCGGAGAAGAGGGTATGAGGAATTTATAAATTTGCTAGTAAAGGAAATAGAATCGATAATGTAAAAGAAAGAGCTGTATTCTTGGGTTGTGGATGCAGGTTGGATACGCAGAGAAAATTAGCAACGTCTGGGCAAAGGTTGCAGAAGAGAGCAGCCAATACGATAGAGAGAAGCAGAGCAGCTAACAAACGCAGATAAAAAGAGAGTGTGGTGTTCATTTTCCATGATTGGCAAAGAATCACAGTGCGTAATAAACAAATAATGGGTGTCAAAAAAGTGTAGTTTTCTTGTTTTTTTTTTCTGGTTCTATGTTGTAACTATCTGATAGTGTTTGGTAAACGTACTGTGTTTTTTTAGTTGATGTAAATTGGTTCTCCAGAAGAAGCATCTCTGATTCTGCCTTGCCCTCCATAGT